CCAAACTATGGAAAGAGCCTAGATGTCCATCAACAGATGAATGGATAAAGAAGATGTGATATATATATACAATGGAATATCATGCAGCCATCAAAAAAAAAAAAAAACACGAAATCTTGCCATTTGCAAAGATGTGGATGGAACTAGAGGGTATTATGCTAAGCAAAATGAGTCAATCAGAGAAAGACATGCATCATATGATCTCAATGATATGAGGAATTCTTAATCTCAGGAAACAAACTGAGGGTTGCTGGAGTGGAGGGGGGTGGGAGAGATGGGGGGCCTGGGTGATAGACATTGGGGAGGGTATGTGCTATGGTGAGCACTGTGAATTGTGTAAGACTGTTGAATCACAGACCTGTACCTCTAAAACAAATAATACATTACATGTTAAAAAAAAAAAAGATAGTAAGAAGGAAAAAATTAAGGGAGGGTTATCAGAGGGGTTGATGAACCAGGAGAGACTATGGACTCTGAGAAACAAACTGAGGGTTCTAGAGGGTAGGGGGGTGGGGGGAGGGGTTAGCCTGGTAATGGGTATTAAAGAGGGCACATATTGAATGCAACACTGGGTGTTATACGCAAACAATGAATCATGGACTACATCAAAAACTAGTGATGTAATGTATGGTGATTAACATAACATAATAAAATAAAATTAAAAAAATAAATAAGTAATAAAAAAACATCAAGAAAGATGTGTTCCTAATATTGCAAATAAAAACTCATGATTTTCAACAGGAAGCACATATGTACAAGGAGGTTAGAAAGAGCATCGGGGCTCAAGTCAGCATTTCCTCCCCTTTTCCTTTCAGAAATCACCACAAAAAAAAAAAAAAGCAACAAAAAACAAATGTCAGCTTAGATCAAATTAGGAGACAGCAGAAACCTCAAACACAAGGTGAGTGGAAATCGTGTCAAAGTAATATAAATGAAGCAGAAGGTGCAGGAGGAAGTGATGGAAAGATGCCAGAGGCTGCACGTCTGAGAAAGGGCCAGAAAAGTCCGTTTCTTTAAGGTAAAGCACATACACTGAGGCGCAAATCCAGAATCCCTTGTTTGCCAGAGCAGGAATGGAATGTGCAAGATAGCAGCAGCTGGAGCTCCCCTGGGGGTCCTAAGACTCAGAGGAAGAGGAGGTAAATGAGCAATCCCAAAGACAGGCCATATTTGCAGGAAGCAAATGGCAAGGGGAAAGGAAAGACTCCACCACAGCCATGTGTCACCTGGTAAAAAGAGCTGGAAGACTCACAGACCCAACTCCTATTAGCTGCTCTACGAACTTCCTGCAAACGGCTAGTCCAGGAAAAACTGAAGTCATTCAAAGGTGAGTCAGCAAAAGGAAACCAGCATAGGAGCAACACAAAGACACTTAAAAGAAAAAAGAAAAGAAGGAATAAGAGAAAAAAAAAGATGAAGAATACTCACCAAAAGAAGCTGACATGAAGCTTATGCATACTAAGATAATATTTAGCCATAAGTTTTAAAACAACATGTAAGCAAGCAACAAGCAGACACAGAAGAGCTCAGAGTAAGAAATGAATGACAACGGGAGAGGAAACCTGAGCTGGCAGAACCAAAGGAAGACATTAAAAGAAAAATTCAAGCCACCATTGAAATGAAGGCAAAGCTGGTGGTAGCACAAAGGAGGGAAGACCCCGCTCAAAACACAAAGGCACGTGGAGGACAGAAAGGCACGCGGACGTCAGAGAGACAGAGGGGCAAAGCGAGGGGAATGAGAATAAAGACAGTTGGTTTTTTTAGTGAAGAAAATTAAAATTATGAAACACAAGAAAGGAGATCCTACACAAAATTACTGCTCTTGAAGAAAAAACTTAAAATATTTTATTTTTTTTTAAAGATTTTATTTATTTGAGAGAGAGAGAGAGAAAGAGAGAGAGAGAAACAGCATGAGAGGGGAGAGGGTCAGAGGGAGAAGCAGGCTCCCCGCTGAGCAGGGAGCCTGATGTGGGGCTCGATCCCAGGACCCCAGGATCATGACCCGAGCCGAAGGCAGTCGCTTAACCAACTGAGCAATCCAGGCGCCCCTAAAATGATATTTTAAAATATAATTCAGGAATGCAATCCCTGAGGCTTGAATTTGTAATTTGAAAGTACCAGGAAAAATTGATAAGGAATTGTTAACACCGATATATATCTTCTAAGTTATTAGATCTTAATGATTTTTTAAGGACTGGAGAGCAGTTATAATGCTATTTTTGGAGCAGCTGTAATTATAAAGGTAACCATTAGACCAAAAATACGTACCTTCCTAAATGTTAGAACTACATACACAAACCATATATTGGTTTATTTAAACGTAAATATACATAATGGCGCCCTTCATCGTTTATTTTTTATTGAAGACTCTCAATAAAATAGGAATGGATTAATTTTCCTTAAATGGTAAAATGTAAATAGCAGTATCATGACTAATGGTGAAACACTAGAATCATTTCCAATAAAGTCAGGAACAAGGTAAGGATGTTTTCTACCACCAGAGGCACAAGGCAACCCATTAAATAAGAGAAAAAAATCAGAGGCAGAAAAATGATAAAACATATCTAACTTAAATCCAAAGCGGAATCAGATAAAACCCAAGATTATTACAGAAACAACTATTAAAAATAGTAAGGGAATTCAGTAAGGTAACTACCGGATGCAATACTAATATACAGGAATCAATAACCCTCATATATTCCAACAGCAACAATTAATGGAAAAAAAGATGTGACAGACAACAGCAACCCAAAAGATAAAATAACTAGGAATAAGCCTAAGAGAGATATGCAAGATCTTCATGAAGAAAATCATAAAACGTTACTGAAAACATAAAATAAGACTTGAACAAATGGAAAAGTGTAACATGTTCTTGGACACTTAAATTTAACATGATCCCAATAAAAATATCAGGAAGTTTTTGTCTTCGTAACTTGTTAATCAAATTCAGTGTTAAACAAGAATAATAGTCAAAACCATTTCGAAAAATGAGGATGAAAGGGAACTACCCTTACTCGACATTAAAACATTTTTAAAAACTACAGCTACTGACACGAGTAGAGTGATAGAAGGGAATAAAATATATAGGGAAACTCAGAACACAGTAAATGATAAAATTTCAAATCAGTGTGGATAAACTGGTTTATTCACTAAATGACGCTAGTAAGACAACTGAGTAGCCATCTGGAAAAAAGCTAAAACCATACCTCACATGTAACACCTGAATAAATTCTAGATAGATTCTGGATTTAATTGTAGTCATAAAAAAAAATCACTCTGTGAAAAACCATTTGTTTACACAGGAAAATATTCATATTGTACTTCTAAATGAGAAAAGTTGCCTAAAAAGCAGGACTTAAAGATATATATGCCCCCCTGCAAAAAAAGGGGGTGCCTGGGTGGCTCAGTCGTTAAGCGTCTGCCTTTGGCTCAGGTCATGATCCCGGGGTCCTGGGTTCGAGTCCCACATCGGGTTCCCTGCTCGGCAAGAAGCCTGCTTCTCCCTCTCCCTCTCCCACTCCCCCTTGTGTTCCTGCTCTCACTATCTTTCTCTCTGTCAAATAAATAAATAAGTTCTTTAAAAAATAAAAAAATAAAAATAAAAGATATATATGCCTATAAGTATATAATAATTATCTCTGGATAGTGGGATTACAAGTGCTATGCTTCCTTTTATAAATTTTGCAAATTTTTTGTATTAAGCATGTAATATTGGATGCCTGGGTGGCTCAGTCGTTAAGCATCTGCCTTCGACTCGGGTCATGATCCCAGGGTCCTGGGATCGAGCCCCGCATCGGGCTCCCTGCTCGGCAGAAAGCCTGCTTCTCCCTCTCCCACTCCCCCTGCTTGTTGTGTTCCCTGTCTCGCTGTCTGTCTCTCTGTCAAATAAATAAATAAATAAATCTTTAAAAAAAAAATTTTTTTTTTAAATAAAAATAAAAAAATAAAAAATCTGACAGACTAGAATTTACTTTAGTGAACTAAAATGGTACTTGCCTTCTTCTATCTTTAGATACTCCTGTTCAGTCTGTGACGCATAAATAGCAGACAACACTGAATAAACAGAAGCTAGCACTGTTTTCTGTTCTTGAAGTATGATGGGTGGATCATCAGACTGGCAAAATTCATGGCAGACCAGGTCAAAAAGTAAATTCCAAGTGTCTTTTCCAGTATCAGGACACTGTACTTAATAAAAATGATAAAGCAAATAGTCATATAACAATAGAAAACAATTCAATGAGTACCTCCAGTGCTTCCCTATAAAACACCTTACCAATTGCTTGAATTCCATCGTCCACTGTTGTAAGCAGCTGTAAGATATGCATGTAAACATCGAGCCCTTCTGGATTTTCAGAACTACATACAAAAAGCAAAAGCACTGAATCAACAACTCTACAGGACTGCAATCATTCACTCATTCAACAAATACTTTTATCACTTTGTACTAGTCACTGCCCCAGGTGCTGAGGATAAATCAGGGAACAGGACAAAAGACTCGGTGCTCACCAGAGCTTACACTTCAAGGGGGGTGCAGGTAGGAACAGTCAAAAAACAAAGAAATATTATGGAATATCATCATCACACAAGGACAAGAAGTGAAAGGTTTATTTTGCCCTGTCCCACAAAAGCAACAATGCAAAAACCTTCTAGGTGATACTTCCTCATTCTGGCATAATCAGAAAGAAAAATGATTAAAACATTTATATAATGAATGAAAGGCCCACTGCCGCAAGCACCGACGGGAAGGACGTTCACAAGACTTCACCACTCCCCTGGCTCCCTAGCTGAGAATACTAAAACCATGTTAAGCATAATTTTTGTGATCAACAGCTTGGATTCCTAGAAACTCACAATCTTAGTTCCTCAAACAGTTAAGTAAAAAAATTAGTGGACGATAAAAAAGATGATTCAGCAAATACTTCAGTACCTACTATTTTCAGGCACTATGTTAGCAGCTGGGAAAACAGAGATGTGTAAAACACTGTTTCTATCTTCATGAAGTTTATAGTCTAAAGGAGAGAAGAGAATTAAAGGGCAATTATGATAAAGTGATATGAATGTAATACTAAAAGAAGTCCAAGGTGCTAGAGGACCACACGGCAAGCAGACTTAAAATTTTTAAGTTTGGAGAGTCAGGAAGGTATCTTAAGACAAATGATGTTTATGCACAGAGCTGCAGGAGAAGTGTTTGAAATAAAAGAGACATGATATGCAAAGGCTTGGAGACAAAAGAGCTTGGTTTTGTTGATGAAAGAAATTTCACATGGCTGAAACACATAGAACAAGTAATAAGGATGGGGAAGCACTAGATCCTTGTAAGCCATGCTTTAAAAAAAATCTGGACCTCATCCTAAGGAAAGCCATGGAAGAGTCCAAAGCATGAAAGTGGTATGATGAGCATGTGCTTTGGAAAGATGGCTCTACAGTCCAGGTTTGGAAAAATGCCGCAGTTACTAGGTAAGAGACAGTGGCGGGGTGATGGATGGGACCCTAGAAAAAGTCAGGAACAAGTTTTGGGAGGTTGACTGGCCATGGAAAAAGAGCAGGATGGGGAGGAAAAGTCAGTAATGACTTCCACATCATCCTAATGGGATAATGATTGCATCATTCACTGAGATTGAGAACAGTGAAGAAGCAGGTTTGGAGGAAAGATGATGAGTTTAATCCTCACTTGGATAAAAGACATAAAATTCACAGACTTTACTATGGGTTATTAAGCACAAAGAATAAACAATTGACTATTAAGCAGATCAATTCACATGTTAATTTTCTAGTGACTAGCAAGAAAGTTTTAATAATCTACAACACCTAGCAATCACTCTTGGCAAGACATCAGAGCCCAAAACTCAGTCACTTATCCAAGACTGACATATATACATAAGAAGCAAGAAAACAAACGATGTCTGACAATAACTGAAAAAGTTGTTAAATGTTTGATGGAAAACAAAACACAAGAAAATCTTTTCTATTTGACTTAAATTACACAAAACTGCAGAAAATTTTACGACAGTAACCATACTTCATGCTGGAAAACACTATAGCTAAGTAATATCAGAATAGGTACTTTGTAACCATTATGATTTTTGAAAACAGCAAACACACTGTCATCACAAATATTAGTAGTAAATCCAACCTGACAAAGATTGACAGGACGTTATTCATCCTGTTGAAAAGAAACTAAAACTTCTATCTAAGGATATTTCTAGCAACTGGATTTTCCCAGAACATTTTGCACAAAAGAGCTCACTTACCGTACTTGTTTCGAAGCTTCAAGTACACAGGGCACAATCTTAAACACTGGCTGCTCTTCAGAATCTTCCTGGGGTGGGTCCAGAGGCTGAACAGCCCCATTTCTAATCCATTCCAACATTAACTTCTCATCCAAATCAAAAAGCTTGTCCACAACCTCCCCCACCTTGACCAGCAAGTCAACTGCAGACAATAAAACAAATATGAGAAACAAAGTTTAAAAACAGTAAGGTTAATCAAAATTCCTAAAGCTATTCCAAGAAAGCCAAATCTTGCCAAATCATTACCTATTCAGAGGGAAATTTATTCACCTCCTTTGTTTTAATTTGCTTGTCTTCCTTCATTTTTAAATGAAGACTTGTCAGTATCCTGGTAGCTTAAGAAGAAATTTTATATCTTGAATCAAAATACTTTCTTACCTTATACTTAAAGCTTTTTTTAAGCAACCTTCAGAAATAGTTACATGGTTTCCTAACAATTAAATATAACCAAAAATTTTTCCTAGATTACATGGTGACTTACCATTTGTTGAACTTGACATAATGAAACAAATGCTATCATAAATAGCTGGATATTCCCGGATTCTTTCAACCCAGACACTGGCTACTTCTGTCTGGGAAAGACAAGTAAGCAACAACCTACAAGATAAACATGAGCTTAGTAACTATGTTTGAAAAACAGTAAAGGAAACTCAAGAATGAAGAATTAACTCTATGGTCCTAGATTCCTGTATAAGTGAATATACGGAACCCAGAGAAAGAAGAAAGCATACCGGCTCGTTTCCAGAAGAGTAGGAGGGTCTGAATCATACAAACAGTGCAATAACACCTGTCTATAAAGACAAAAAAGTTAACCCAATATGCATCACTTCTCTCATTTCAAATATCTAGGTAGAGTTATTTAATTTCTTCAACATTTTCATTGTGAAATACAGTATATATACAAGAAAGCCTATAGATATAAATTTATACTTAATGAACAGTTACCAAGCAAATACATATTTACCAAAAACGGAACAGTGCTCCATCTCTCCGTAGGCTTTGTGTGTCCCTTCCAAATCACAATTCTCTTTCCCACCTAGAAATGACTACTACCTGGACTTTTCCAGCAATTATTTCCTTGTTTTACTCTATAGTTTTATTATTCCATATATTTTGGCTTTGAATGTTATGTGAAAAAATTATACTGTATGTATTCTTTAGAGTCTTAGTTCTTTTGCTCAACACCATGTCTTTAAGATCTACCCTTGTTTTCCCATAGTGATCGTTCTTTGATTCATTGCTGCAGAATATTCCATCATATGAGTATAAAACAACTTATTTTTCCAGTTTACTGCTGATGGATATGTGGGTTGATTCTAACTGGGGCCATATCAAGCAATGCTCCTCCAATACTTTTTGGCTGATATACATACGTAGAGTTTATCTTACTATATACAGTGGGATAGTTTGATCACAGTATCTGCATTACCCATATTCCAGTTTAACAAAATAATGCCCAACTTCTCTAAAGTAGCTGAACAAATTCATATCCCATCACCAATGTAAATTGTTCCATATTAATTTTAACATGACTCATTCTTAGATTTTTTTTTTTTAAGATTTTATTTATTTGACAGAGAAAGACACAGCGAGAGAGGTAACACAAGCAGGGGGAGTGGGAGAAGGAGAAGCAGGCTCCCCGCTGAGCAGGGAGCCCGATGCGGGGCTCGATCCCAGGACTCCAGGATCACGACCTGAGCCGAAGGCAGATGCTCAACGAAGCCACCCAGGTGCCCCTCATTCTTAGATTTTTGATAGGGACCACTAGAGACCAAATATAATCCTGGGTCATTTACTCCATGAATGACTTAAATTACTGAGGAATAAAGACCTTAAATCAGGATTTTAAAGTCACTGCACACACAGAAGAGGTAATTACCGCTATTTTAGAGACCCAGGTACTTAAATCCTGCGATAAACCCTCACAACCCTAGCGGATGATAACCACCTAGAACACTTTTCTTAATCTATTGTGGGCACAAATTTCTTTGAAATTCTGATTAACAGCCATGAACTCTCTGCCTAAAAAATGAATACATTCAAAGTTTAGCATACAATTCCAGGGTTTTCTCAGATCTCTTAAAGTAACCACTAGGGTTTCTACCACTAAAAAACCCTCTGCTTAAAATTTTCCTGCATTTAAAATAGAACTAGCCTCCAAGCGAAAATATGAAAGCCTTTGAATCACGGAGGCAACCCTGTATCTTCTAGTCTGTCGATAAGCCCTATCCCCTGATCTTAGTCAAGAGTTCTCAGGGTAACCCTGGTTACTAAGTCTAGTTTTTCCAGACTCTAGCTCTTCTGAGCCATTGGATTCCCTGAGCCTAAATTATTTGGGACTCTGGTCAGGGGCCCCATCGCCAAGCTTTGCCCCTCAGGGTCTTATCTTGTCAGGCTTACCACCTACTGAAGGTTTGTCCTTCTGCTACCAATAAAGAAACAGGCCTAAATCCTCAGTCATGCCCATTAAAAACTGTGAAAGCCCCTAGCTACCATCAATATACAATGAAGTTCCTGGAGACTATTCATCAGGAGAAAGGAAATACTACATTTCATAAAATGTTCCTCTATCTCCTATGTATTAGAATTTCCTTAGGGATATGAAGTGTTAATTTATTTTGTAAAAACATAATTCTTATATAGTAAAACTTACCCAAGATTTTTATCACTGCTGATGGACACACATATCTCCTGGAAACAGGCCATATTACCTAAAATTCCCACACAGATTTCCTGCCAAATCAAATGTCACAGGTCATAGGTCACAGTGTCTTGAAGATAAAAGACACAAAAATAAACAACTTGAAAAAAACTTTCACTGAGTCAGTATGGGGGAAGAAGAGGAGGTAGCATACAGAAGTACGCTAATCTTGACAAGTTTACAGCATTTGACAGGATGAAAGACACAAGAAAAAGAAAGATCAAAGGCAGGCACAAGTTATGGAAAAAGAAATCTTACGGATGAACTCAGTCTTAAATGGTTAGTAGGATATAGACATGCAAACAAGAAGAAAGACATTCGGACAAGTGGAAAAGTATCAGCAAAGGCAGGAAGGGAATAATGCACATGGCTAATACACCGAACCCTAAAGAGAGCAGCCTGACTGTTGTACAAAATTGGAGAATAACATGAGATAAATACAGCAGGTAAAAAGGATCAGGACTAAGGGACTGGAATGCCATGCTGAAAAGATTAGATTTAATCTAGGAGGTTATGTGCACCCATAAAGATCAAGGAAGGGGGCAGCATACTGCAATGTTATTTTAGGAAGATTTTGTCGCTAGCAAAATGCATAGTGCATGATGGTGGAAAATGTTAAAGGAAGTTAATAACCTCACAGTAATAACAGAAGATGTTTACTTAGCACGTACTAGGCCCAGGCACTACTCCAAGCACTTCCCACATATTATTATTCACATAATAATTTATGAGGCAGGTACTGTTATCATCCCCATTTTTCAGATGAGGGGGAACTAAAGCACAGAGCAGTTAAGCAACCTGCCAGGATCTCCGCCTAGGCAAGAGCAGAGCTCCAGAGCCTGAGCATTTACCAACTATGCCGTCCTGCATCTCAGTAATCAGGGTGCAGAGATGAGGGTGGTGATGGCAGGCGCGGAAAGGGATGAAGCTGAGAAAGACTCAAGCTGAAAGCAAAATAATCTGATGAGGGGCAAAAGGAGAAGGCAGTTGAACCTCACTCCTAGGTTTCAAGTTTCATTTTTTCTAGTCAGAACTATTGGTTCCACTGACAGGAAAATGGGAAAAGAAAGTGTAGGAAAGGATATAGTGAACTCAGTTAGGCAGTTAGTTTCCAAACTTGCTGGAACATAAGACTCATTAGAGCAGGGAACATGTTAAAAATACAGATTTCTGAGTGCCATCTCAGAGCTACTGAATCAGAATCTCCAGGGTAGGGCCCGGGAAGCTAGTGCTTACCAAACACAGCACGTCATTTTTATGACCAGGTAAGTGTGTTCATCACTGAGTCAGGACATATGGAATTCTGGATTGGAAAATACAGCCAGCAAGTACAGAATGCCTAAAGAAAGTTGAAGATGTGACACCAGAAATCAGAAGCAAGGGTGCAGCTTTGATCCCACAGGCACAGACTCGCAACTTAAAGGTATAAAGAGTGGATGAGCTCACTAAGGAAATGAATTTAAAGAGGACGCGGGATCTGGGTCTGCAGCTTAGAAGGAGTCCACACTCTGTGTAGGAAGAAAGAAAAAAAGCCAATAAAAGTGACAGAGAAGTGACTGAAGAGGTCAGAGACCGGGAGAGTGAGGTGGCACCAAAGCTATAGGAAGGGAAAGCTTCAATAAAATGAGGGTTGTCAAATGCTGGGGAAAGATTAAAGAACAGAAGCAGCAGAGAGACACATACATTTCCTTACAAATTAAAGGGAGAATGACTGAACTTCCAATCAAAGACATTTCTCATTTTGGCTGCTAGCCAGAATCGGCTGAGGGAACTTTAAAAGTTGTGTGGAGTCTCACACTTGGAAATTCTGTTTCAACTTATCTGGGTAAGGCCTAACTCAGGATTTTTAAAAGGTCCCAATGGCAAAGGTTCTCAAAATGTGGGCTCTCCTCCAGAGCACTCGCATCATTGGAGAACTTGTTAGAAATCCTCGATCCTACCATAATGATCAGAAACTCAGGGGTGGCCCTGTAATCGGTGGTTCTGGGACATGCCAAAGTTGGAGAACCCGTGTTCCATTCTAACATGTGGCCAAGGCAGAGGATCACTGCTATAGACAGGCTGTGGCTCACAGGCATATATAATGATACGACTAATTCCTGAAAGGTACCATTACTGACATAAGCTTATTTTCTTTAAGTACTAATCCTGAGTCAATGTATTTAAGCTCGAAAAGTCCAGGAGAAAAATCATTATCAACTGTCAAATTTTTCTATCAACATAATGACCCCAGGAAAAAGCGGTTCGTCGGTTCATCAGGTCCCAATTCAGGTAGAACACTGTCCTAAATGAAATTTGAATTCAGCATTCAATTTGTAAAAATATACTACAGAATTCTCCACTTCATAATTTCAAAGAAAGAAAGGTAATACAGCACAGTGGTTATACTGAAGTCAGGCCGGCTCAGCTCAAATCCCAGCTCCATTCTTTCCCAGTTGTATGACCCTGGACACATTAACCAGAGACTTAGCTCATTTATTTATAAAGTGAAGATAAATTCCTATCTCACAGAGTAGTAAAACCAAATACCGAGTAAACAGCAGTTATTCATAAGTATAACTACTTAATATTTACTAATCACCCACGATATGCATAGCACATCCCAACCTAAATGACACAGAAACACAATCCACTGCACACAGCGTAGATAAAGACTAAATGAGAAGCAGAGATAATTCCTCTAGGGAGCTTACAATCAGCAATGGCCATTGAGAGCTTACTTATTTGGGAAGGCTTAGAAGAAATGCAGCTCCTGTGGTAACAGATGTGACTCTTGAGAGGGATGGAGGGCATATGAAGGGAGGCATGGAGATGGTGATCAACGCAGTAAAGCTGAGACAAGGAGAGGACAGGCCTTGCTAAATTAGAAGCACCATCTGCACAATAGATTTTATGCTGGAAAGCTGAATTAGATTCAGATTATGGAAAGCCCTGAGTGTCAGGCTGAGTTCAGAACGAAGGTTTTTAAGCAACGGAGGATTTTATGGGAAAAAAAAAAAAAAGAGCAATCAACAGAAATGGGAGGTCCGGGCAATGTTCCCTGTTCTGCCACATATTAGGAACATAACTTTGGTTATGCCTGTTTCCCACAGCAGTTAAATGAAAGTATTGATCTCCCTGGTCCAACCCACTCTAATAATTTTAAACAGCACATTATCGAGTGCCAGGCAATGTTCAATGAAAATCTGCTGACTGATTTGTGGCCAGCAAGAAAATTAAAGTGAGAAAAATGAAAGACTATCTAGCACTATCTGCTGTTATTGCTCTAAAGAGGAAGCTTTAAAAATGTACATACTTACTCTTAATCGAGGACATTTGGATTTGGCCAATACTCCCATAAATATGTCAGGAGCATTAAATTCTTGGAGAAATAGAGCCACATCCTGAAAATAAAAAATGATTATTAATTTGGATGCTGAATAGTCCTCTTTAAACCCCATAGTTCATGGGCGCCTGGGTGGCTCAGATGGTTAAGCATCTGCCTTCGGCTCAGGTCATGATCCTAGAGTCCTGGGATCGAGTCCCGCATCGGGCTCCTTGCTCCTTGGGAGCCTGCTTCTCCCTCTGTCTCTCTCTCTCTCTCTGTCTCTCATGAATAAATAAATAAAATCTTTAAAAAAAATAAATAAATAAACCCCATAGTTCAGACAATCATTTAAAAAAAGTATTCTATATATACCTCCTTTCAGGCTCAAGAAAAAAAAGCCATAGGTTAGGAACTGTATCATTACACAAAAGTAATGTTAGAGAGTCTTTGTGCTATGTGGTCCCAAGGCAATGGAACAAATCCATAAACAAATTTAAACTAACTGTGATACTCCAGGAATATCTTCCTTTTTCTGCCTTGAATGCATTTACCTTAATGATCTTTCTAGCCACCAGGAATGTTAACTCATTCAAACACATTTGCTAGTTGCCAGGTATCCTGCCAGACACTGGGGTGGGGAAAAACATAAAACTCATAATTCCTGTCTTCTAAGATCTTAAAACACAATGGGGGAAACAGGTTAAAACTCCTACTGGGTCATGCCCCAAATCAGAACTTGCACTTTCAAAATTCTCAACAGAAAATAATCCTGATCACAGTGTAACTGGACAGCTTCATATCTCCTTCCTAGAGTTTGCTCAGGCCACGGTGCCTACAGGGTACAGGTGAATGAACCCGGAGTGGTCATGTGATCCAATCTTGCACACTCCAAGACCAAATCAGTTTGCTGTGGAGATCTGTGTTGTACAATATTTAAATAAAATGAAGTTTTTGACGGTCAATTGCCTCAGATTTTCACCAAACTTGAAGTGTATATTTGCAATAGCTTAACTTAAAACCAGAAGCTGTGTGGCTTAAGTAAAAATGCTTTTCAAAGGGCCCTGGAGGCACCCCAAAGACAGAGGCAGTAATCCTTCACAGCAGCTGAAACCAAGGTAACCTGCATGACTGCTGACTAGAAGAGACGTCCTGTAATTATTAAGAGAGCACAATCAGAGAAAACAGTATTTTCAAAGATACACTCCAAACTGAAAGTCACAGCAAAAGATGCTCCCCACTCGAAGTGTTTAGAGTGCTGTTTGTCATGTCAGCAACTCTTAGGGCATGCAGAGAGTGATTTATTTAAACAGTAGTTAGTAATTCCTAGGGTAGCACAGGGTTAGGTAGTCTAACAATATCAACACCAATAATAATAACAACGGCAATTAACATTTATCGAGCAAGTGGTCATTAACACAGTGAAGTGGTTTGCATACTATCTTATTTAATTCTCAAAAGATCCCTATAAAGTAGTCATTATTATTAGTCCCATTCCACTAATAAACAGAAGTTTTAAAAGGTTAAGCAACCTGCCCAAGATTATACAATCAGTAGAACAAAGCCAGGAGAACAGAACCCAGATGAGTCTGACTCACGGACATGCTCTTAATCAGAACACCATGCTACCCCTCAGCTATTCATTCAATCACTAATGCATTCATTCATTCACTCTTCACCAAGTATTTACTGCAAAACCCAAGCAACAGGCACTGTTTGAAGCTCTGGGGGGACACATCAGTGAACAAGCTAGATAAGGTCCCAGTCTCATGGAATTTTTATTCTAGAGGGATGAGCAAACAATAAACCCATAAACAACTGATCTAAGTGCTACAAAGAAGAGAGACAAGATAGTATGTGCCAGAAGCCAAGATGTGGGGGGGCTACTTCAGACAGAGAAGGTACCTCTGAAGAGGTGACATTAAGCTTTTAAGAGAAGGAACTTAAATCTATCAGAGGGCACAAAGACTGAATAACTAGGTAAGTGTTATGCAACAGAGTGAACACGTTTCACGAGAGCACAGAAGAGATGAATTCTGCTTGGAGTGTCTGAGGAGGCATCACAGAGAAGGTGACATTTAGGCTGGGCCATAAAAGATGAGAAAGATTTTGCTAGCTGGAGGCCATTCCAGGCAGACAGGGACATGAACAGAGCATGAACACATGAAAATGCAGAAAGCATCTGAAGTCTCTGGTCCTGCTCAAACAACAGTGGTAGATGAGGCTGGAAGGACTTTACACTAGTGATCAGTGGACATCTCAGTTCTCTAGAGGTACTTCAAGAGCTACCCTAAGAAGGTGCAAAGGAGGCCAAGAACATGACCCTGCCTTCCACCAACAATCTTATTCAAACAGCAGCTCTGTTTTACCTATTTCATATTTGAGGATTTCACATTAAGATTTCATTTTAAAAATAGGTTCTAGTTCTTTAAAAATAATTTTTTTTAAATCATAGCTTCTCAATAATTATAAAACAAGTAGAAAAAGACTTGAAAGATCAACCAACTTGATCTGACATATGTGTGTGTGTGTGTGTGTGTATATAGGACACCACCCAGCAACAGCAGAATACACATTCTTTTTCAGTGAACATGGAAAATTTCCAAGATAAATCACATTCTGGGCTATAAAACAAGTTTAAATATATTTTTTAAAAGGATTCAGAGTGTTCACAGACTTCAGTAACAGAAAGATAACTGAAAAACTCCCAAATATTTGAAATCTAAACAATGTACTGCTAAATAACCCATTAGCCAAAGAAGAATGAAAGGAAAATTAGAACTAAACTAAATGAGAGGAAACCCAACATATCAGAGTCTGTGGGATACTGCCAAAGCAACAGTTGAAAATTTATAGTGTTACATGCCTATATTAAAAAAGAGCAAATTAAATCAGAGTGAATAGGAGGAGGAAAATAATAGAGATCAAAATGGAAATCAATGAAATAGAAAACAGTAAAGCAACAGAGAAAATTAACAAAACCAAAGGCTGGTTCTTTATGAAGATCAATAAATTAAACTTCTAGCCAGAATGATGAAGGGAAAAAAGACAGAAGTTACAAATTACTAATATCAGGAATGAGAGAGGTGCTATCACTACAGATTCTACAGATAAAGGAAAATAACATAATGTTATGAAGAACTTTATGCCAATAAATTTGACAACTTAGATAAAATGGATAAATTCCCTGAAGAACATAAACTACCAAAGTAACCTGAAGAGCCTTATTTATACCTATTAAAGGAATTGAATTTATAATCTTTTGCACCAAAAACCACTAAATGGTGAATTTTATGGTAGGGAGTTTTATCTCAATAAAACTATTATTTCTTAAAAGTAATAAATATACAAAACTAAAAGTAAACAAGCAAAAAACAAAAAAAAATCTTCCCAGAAAGAAAACTCCAAGCTCCGATGGCTTCACTGGTGAATTCCACCAAATATTTAAGGAAGAAATAATATTAATTCTGCACAAATTCTTCCTGAAAAATGAAGAGGGAAAAGTTCCCAATCAGTGAGGACAGCATTATCCTGGTACCAAAACCAGATAATGACAAGAAAATGAATTATCTCTCATGAAATTAGATAGAATTTCTAAACAAGATTTTAGCACCTCGGAAATGAGTCAACTTAGTTCATCATATTAACAAACTAAAAAGAAGCCACATGATCATCTCAACTGACTTAGCAAAAGTATGACAAAATACAAAATCCATTCCTGATAAAGACTCTAGGCATACTAGAGACAGAATGGAACTTTCTCAATCTGCAGTTACATCATATTAATGGTGGAAGACCAGATGTTCTGCCGCTCAATTAAGAACAAGAGGATGCCCCTCTCACCACTTTTCTAATCAACATCATACTGGAGAGAGAAAATGTGCAAGAAAAAGAAATAAAAGCACTTCAAATTGAAAAAGTAGTAAAATGTTTCCTTTATAAATGAAATACAGCTACAGGATGTAAAATATACAAAATCAACTGAATTTCTATATACTAGCAATGAACAGATATTGAAATTTTTAAAAAATGCCATTTTTAATAGCATGGAAAAGTATGAAATACTTAGGAATAAATCTGACAAAAGATGTGAAATACCTATACACTAAAAACTACAAAACTTTGCTGAAACAAATTAGAGAGGATCTAAATAAATGGAAAGATATACCTTGTTCAATTTATCAATTCTTTCCCCAAATGATCTATAAATTCAACTCAATCTCAGTCAAAATCCTAGCAGGCATTTTGAAGAAAGTGACAAATTGATTCTAAAATTAATATCGAAATACAAAGGATCCAGGACAACCAAAACAACTCTGAGAAACAACAAAGTTGGAAGATTAACTCTACCTGATTTCAAGATTTCTTATATATGTACAGTAATTAAAACAATCATAAAGATGGACAAATAGATCAATGGAACAAAATAGAGTCCAGAAATAGACTCACACAGACAGAATAACTGATTTTTGACAAAGATACAAAGGCAATTCAGTGGAGAAAGGACAGTCTTTTTAAAAATTGAGCTTGAATAACTGGACACCCATATGCAGAAAAAGTGAACTTCAATTCATACCTTGCATCACACACAAAAATTAACTCAAAATGGATTACAGATCCACCAGTAAAACTTAAAATTATAAGACTTATAGAAAAAAAAACTAAGAAAACAACACAATTAAAAAGTGGGCAAAAGATCTGAATAAGCACCAAAAAAAAGATATACAGATTGCAAATAAACACATAAAAATGTGGTCAACACTGTTAGTAATTAGGGAAATACAAATTACAATTACAAGGAGAATCACTACACACTTATTAGAATGACTAAAATCAAAAGGCTGACCATACAGAGTATTGGCAAGGATAAGGAGAAACTGGACCTGTATCTCGTACACTGCTCATGGTAACGTAAAATGTAAAAACCACTTGGGAAAATACACAATTTTTTACACAACCTGTAAGAAACACTATTCGGACTGGTTCTTAAAAATTAAACATAAAAAAAAAAAAACGTTAAACATACACCTACCATATGACCCAATACTACTCTAGGTATATACCCGAGAGAAAGGAACACATAAGTCCATACATAATTATACACAAAAATTCAGTGTTAACTTTAATAAACCATGAACAACTCAACTATCCACCAACACAGGAATAAATGAATAAATCATGATATACACATACAATGAAGTGTCACTCAGCAATAAAAAAATAATAAACTACTAATAGACACAACATGCATGAATCTTAAAACAATGATGCTGAGTGAAAGAGCCGGACCCCTCCAAAAAAAGAATACGATCTCATTTATATAAAACTAGACAGTGCAAACGACTCTGAGGTGACAAAAGGGCGATCCGGTGGTTGTCTGGAGAGGTTGCAGGCAGGGAGGGGCAAGAGGAAGGGATACAAACAGGCATAAGGAAACTTTTGAAGGTGAGAGAGATGTTCTCTTTCTGGATTACAGTGACGGCTTCATGTGCATATACACACACAAAATTTTTCAAATTGTGCAATTTAAATATGTGTAGTTTCTGTACACCAATTACACCTCAAGAATACACAGCTTTTTTGGTGCAAATTATACCTCAATAAAGCTGTATCAAAAAACAGCCGAAGCCAATGAATAGCCATGGACAACTTTTAAGACAGAAGAAAAGAACACAATTAAGTCTGTGTTTTAGGAAAAAGAGAACTTCCGTGACAATGTGGAGGACAGAAAGGAAGTGAAAGACTAAAACAAGGATTTTAATCAGGAAGCTATTGCAAAAGTCCAAGTAATTAAGTGAGAGATTATGTATGTCAATCTCTTTTCATGTCTTTTCTTATCTGTAAAATAAGGGTACTATCTATATCACAGGGTTATTGTCAAAAACAAAGGGAATAATATATACATGAAAATGCTGTTAAGCTAGAGTACAATACAAACGTTAAAATATTATTTTGCAATTATACACACATGGGTCCTTCTTGTCCCCTTCTAATTTAATCGTGGTACATCAGTGGTCTCCTCACTTCTAACCTGCTCTCAAACACAAGGTCAGCATTCTCTAAGGCAGGTAAGTATCAAAACTTTCCTGGGCTACAAGCATTCTTGCATTCATGAGAACTATCTATTTAGACCAAATCTAATGACAGCTCAGATCCTCTAGGCTCAGAAACAAAAGTTTAGCATTTAAGCTCACTCCCTATACCCATATGAGTGATTACAGACACTAAAGTATTTTCCCAGAGACTTAAGGACTGAAACTTAAAAAAAAAAAAAAAAAATCCATTCACCACCTCCTTACCCAACAGTCTTCTCAGTTTCATTTCCAACCCCATACCTCGTCCATTGACATATCCCACACTCTGCAAATTTCATTCTCCATTTCTTCATCAAGCTCCATCTGCTGCTCCTCCTCATCTGAGCTGGATTTGGTGTTTTCAGGGCTAACAATCTTCAACAGAAAGGAAGAAAAGTGATGACAAAAGCAGTCCATAGTACTCATCATGTAATATTATCCCATAATCATTCACAAGTCACAAAGACACTTTCCTCAAAGTATCTTCTCTTGCAGAAACCTTGTTTTAAGAAATACTACCCTGGGTAGATCTATTCATTCACATCTACAGAGTAAATACTGTTAGTAGGCACTGAGGTCGAAATACAGAGATGAATATATTTAACCCCTTGCTTTCAAGCAGTTAAGGATCTACAGGGGGAAACACATGTAAACTAATTATCACAACAGAAAAGGCTAAGTGATACAAATGAACTGTGGACAGAGTAGTGAAAGCAAAAACGATGGACCAATGACCTATGCCTGGAAAAGGTGGGCAAACTTCTCCTAGGAGGGAATCTTTAAGCTAAATCTTTGAGGGAGAATAGGAGTTTGTCATGTGAAGAATGGGAGAAGAACATACCTAAGAAAGTTCAAGAGTTCAGAGTTAAGAAAGGGCCTAGTAAGGTTTGGGGAATGGTGAGTAGTTGAGAGTGTCTTGGCAGATGAAGCTGGGAAGGTTGCAAGGAGCCCTGGCTTCCAAACTAAGAAATATGCATTTTTCTCCTGCAGGCAAAGAGAACCAAAATGAGTTCCCAGGAACAGCTTGCTTTTTTTGGTTTGTCTGTTTGTATAAGGACGAATATTCCAGCAACTATGTTGCAGATGCACTGGAGAGAACAGAGATTGAAAGTAGGTAAGTCCGGGAAACGTGGGAGAAGAAAGTTCACATTTATTGAGAGCTCCGATAAGCCAAACACCATGGTAAGCACTCTATGCCCATTATAATCTTATCTAACCTACACAATAACCCTATATACAATAACATAGGTAAAGCAGTTTACAGAAACTGAGAGAGAAATCGAGGCTCTGAGCGGTTAGGTAACTTGCCCAAAGCAGGTGATGAAGCCACGCTTTCGTATCAGGGCTGCAGGACTCCAAAATCACCATTTATTCTACTACAACAAAAGTCCACAAAATAAATTAGGCCCTGAGGTTCAGAAACGACAGTGGGAATGGGGAGCAAAAAGCCGAGCAATGTATTTACATGGTCAGACATTTTCGGAAAATATGCAAAAGTGAAATATTTTAACCGTAAGCATTCCAGCATCCCTGCCACTCTACCCCCCTTTGTGTTGAGGGGTACCGGGAAGTGGCTCCCCGCAGTTTTGGGGTCCGTGGAGGCGGCCAGGACGCTAAGCGCGATGCCTCGAGAAGGGTGGTCGCGGAGGGGGTGCGGGAGTGGGCCGCCAGAGGCGTGACCAGGCGGCTGGGGCAGTGTGGGCGAGCCCACGCGGGGCGCGACTTTCCACACCTGGATGAGCCCGCTGAGGACGCCGAAGAGCCAGTGTTTGCTGTAGACCGTGCTTCCTATGCAGTCACCCCCGGCCCCCTCCTCCTCGTCCTGGTCCCGATTCGGCAGCGGCGGCGAAGGGTTGCGGTCCATGACTTCTCCACCCGCTCCTAGAAGCCGCGCCGGAAGCCGCCGGAGGAGGCGATAAGTCTTCTGGCGCCAGAGGGGCCGGCGCGCCCGGAGCGGCTCCCACCACAGCGCCCCCTACTGCCCGGAGCCTGCAGGCCTGAATACCCGGTCTGTGCGCCCACAGGCTTGGGATCCCAGATGACTTGATCTCCCCTTACCCAACCCTATCTAGGACCCAAGCACGACCATATTCATAACTGTTATTTGTCACTCTCCCTGGACCAGATATTCCATCTCCTTAGGGGCTCTTAGCCTGACTGAAAGGACAGGGAGTCGGGGACAGTGTCTCTGGCGCAGACGTAAATTTCGAAGCTGTCGGACCCCTGATCTCTGGGCACGTTTGGCATCCTTAAAGGCATGAGTAGGCGTTCTTTCTTTTACCAGGTGTGGTTGGAATCCTCGGAAAGACATAAGTCACCAGGAAGAACGTCAATATCGTCAAGATTACAACTCCCTGTATTTTCAGTTCCTGCTTCTATTTAGTTCTATGGTACTCAACCTCAGACTCAGTGCTCCTCTCCCACCCCACAAAATATTTTGCCACACCTACTTTACTTTGATGAAAGAGATTTATAGATGATATTATCTACCTTAACATTAATTTCAAAAATAGTAATATGGCTCCCTAACAGAAAGAAGAAATAGAATTAAATAAAATGATATATTTTTTTAATACTTCAAGTACTAGAAGACATAATAGAGGTCTCCAATGTTAGCACATACACATCAGATCCCTGTGAACCCAACAGTTACAGAGTAAGAGAGGTGTGATTCCATCAGAGACCGTGCTTCTCAAAATCATAAACAGAGGATGGTAAAATTTCTGCCAAAACAAAGTTCCAATTTACAAAGCAATTGCATTTTCAGAAAATTTTAAGTTATATTAAAACTGGACGAAGAATACTCTGCTAATATGTAAAATACAGTTGGGTTCCAGCTTAAGTAATTATGAACATTTTTTTTCACTGTATGTGAAGGGGCAGACCCAGGTTTTGTAAGGTCTGAATTATGCAATTTGGGGAGCCCCCTTTAGGAAAAACAATACAAAATTACAAATATTAAATTAGTTAACAATAGGAAATATTTATTTAGAATGGTGAAAACATATCAACTTTAAATAGCCAACAAATATGTAAAACATCACAAAATACAGAAAAATATATAAATATTTTTATTAATAAACAGCCTGACACACTTCAACAATCCTTTTTCTTTCTTCTAATAGAATTTATTTTTAGAGCAATTCTAGTTTCACAACAATATTGAGCAGAAGGTACAGAAATTTCCCATATAATTCATACCTGCCCCCATGCATAGTATCTCCCATTATTAGCATTCCCCACTAGAGTGGGATATTAGATATAATTGATGAACCTACATTGGCACATCATTATAAGCCACAGTTTACATTAGGGTTCTCTCTTGGTGTTGTACATTCTATGGGTTTGGGCAAATTTCTAATGACATATATCCACCATTATTGTATCATGCAGACTACTTACACTACCTGAAAAATCCTCTGTTTTAATATAATATTTTTAATATAATTTTAATTTTTTAATATAATTTTTCTGAGTTCACTTTGATCTTCATTTTATGACAATGACCTTGTAAGATCATTTTCTATAATGAAAAATAAAAAGACAATTCTGTCTTTAGCATGGCTGTTTGATTTTTAAAAAATTATTATTGGTGGTTTAGGAAAGTTTCTTTCAGCTTCACAACTTGTTATTGGTAATATTCTATAAAGTTTGACCACTGTCAAATTTGGAAAACCTCTCTCTGGGGGAACTTCCATTTTGACTAGGATTCCATCAAAATAAAAATCTTACACATGTGATCTTACAATTCTCCATTAACTCATGCTTGACTTTCAAAGTTGTTTCTTCCCAACTACTCACATACTCTGTGCTGGACTGTACAGGACATGTGTATTTTGCCATATGACCTTTCCTCCTGCACTGGGAGTAACCACAGTAGATGGTAGGAGAATACATACCTAGAGGCCATTCCTACTCCAAGATAGCGATCAATAACTTAATTATACTTGGAAGTGACTGAAAACGACACAAATATGTCCCACTAAGTGCAAACCAATCATATTCCCAATTCAACTTCTCCTTAGTCAGGTCACCAAAATGCCTGTGCCCACCCCAGTGCCACTCAACACAAGCAGAAAAGTAATGGCGGAATGTTGGCATGAACAGTCAGAGGCATTAACTGCCTTAGTTAAAATATTTTACTTCTGCATATTTTACAAAGATAATTGACCATGTGAATCCTTTCCCAAGGCCTCTCCGAGGATCTTGGAATGGTCCCATATAAGTGAGGAGTTCTTGAAGCTTAAGCTTCATTCAGTTTTGCAGTAAATCTGATTCTGCCTAAATACATGTCTGATAGGATACTGCAAATGTCAAGCAAGATTCAGGATGACCCTTTGTTTGCAGCACTGTCTCATAAATTGTAAGCTGTATGTACCTCTGGTTCATACACCAAATGCCCTGCAATCACCGTGTCAACCAAAAGTATCCCCAGATGATCCAACAGCTGGTGTGGGGATGGAGGTGGCTGCAGCACCACCCTGTTGAGAACTAGAGTTTAGATCTCTCTCTGACCCACGGACTGACATGTATGGTCCGTATATACTCTATATAGTATGGTCCCTATCATGGAAATATACTTTTAACCCCAAATTACTATTATTCTTTATTAGTGCCTTATCTCCTTTAAAGAAAAATGATATAAGGTAAGTTGATCATGTCCCTGGTATTAAAAGTACCCAGGAAGATTTCCATTAGCTGTTTCCAGATGACAACAACGACAAATTGAATTCATAAGCATTTATTAAACATTTTTTATGTGCTCTTTATAAAGTATTGAGTAGGAAAGATATAGAATTCAGTAACTAACTCAGCAACTGTTCCTGCTTTCAGGGGTCTGACAGCCCGTCTCCCGAGGGCAGAGCCAAGGGGAAGCTCAGTACTTGTCAGGCAGGCCAGGGGGTCGGAAGTGGTTGGGGTCTTTGCCACTCCGGCCCCATTCATTGGCAGCCTGGTCAGCCTTCGAGTCCTCCACTCCGTGGCCGCTGTCTCCAAACTTCAAAAGGTCTGTGACTCTCTGAGAATTCTCTCTGGCGTCACTGGAATGGAGGAAAGCAGGTAAGAGATTAATCAGGGGCTGATGAACAACACCTCCAACCTTCCTATCTCTCCTCTTTCCAAGAAATTAATGAATCTATTAGAAGCCAAGTTTAGGGATGCTAAAACACTGATCATTTCTGGGTACAGCCCAACTCAGCCTGGCGTATCTCCTTGTGCTGGGTAACCAGCACCCATGGGGGAGAGTGGAAATCACAGCTAGGCATGCTCAGCTCACCCATATCTCCATCACCAGGGGCTCTGTTACCTGATCATTTTAGCAGCCCAGGCACCCCCAGGGCCCCTTTGTGCAGCGTCATAGTTCCCCCGGGCATGGAAGTATTTGTCGGAATTTTTGTGATTGGCTTCTCTCATGTCAGAGTAAGCTCTCATCATGTCTCTAGTCCCTGGAAAGGAAAGAAAATGAAAGTGATCATCTTTTGGCAAAATAGAGAAAAGTTTTCCTCCCAATATTTCTAAGATTTCAGCCTTTTGACAAAAACCTTTGAGATTATAGGATATAGAGATATAGAATATTTATCTGGCTGAGATAAATATTCCTTTACTTTTCACTTCCCAAGGTTAATGTTAGGAGAATCACACCGGGTGCAAGTTTTATTCTCTTTGATTCCATTCTAAGTACTGTTGCTACTTGGTATTCGGCTGTGTGTGATGTGTATGAACAAGAGGTGGGATGGTCTTTAAGGGATACTTCGTTGTGCAGTGAACCTCTACCTGGAAAGGGCAGGGAACCTTCTGACTGGGGCGTGAGGACAAAGGCAAGTCTGAGGGAGGCTGCTGACCCAGAGGGCTCCCAACCTAGTCAAGGGAAGAAAGTCAGCGCTGTGGGCAGCATGAAGACAACTCAGTTCTGTGTGCATCTGAATGTCTGGGGCATACGTGGCACCAGGAGACTTTCAGGTGATAAAGGTGAATTCCTCCAACAGAGCTTCACAGAAACGGGATCATCAAATGCAGAAAAGGGCAACTACCCCTAGCTCTAAAGTTCAGTGTTCTCCCCAGTGAAATGAAGAGTATTGCCTTCCACACAGTGGTTATGCAGACAAACTGAGAAAATACACATATAACTTCTAGAAGTTTCCAGGTGCTCACTATGCTATAACTTCTCTGGGCCTTAGGAAGGCTGCGACAAAAACAGTAAAGGGAGTAAGCTAAGAGGAAAATCAGAGTTACGGATTGAAGGAATCTGATCAGGCTACAACAAAATAAAGACTTTCAAAAAGTAGCTTGATAAGCAAAAGAGAAAAACCTACTGTCGAGTTGTAATCATAATTTATGTAATACCCATGCGATGCCTTCTCTTCATTTTATGTATTTATTCTTTCCAGTGTTCAGAAAGATAACCTTGTTGAGCAGTATGACATTCTTACTATACTTACTCCCTCAAGTTACAGATTTAAATATATGCCTGGAGGCCCCTTGCTTAGGAAGTCCTTCCAAAATCCCTGACGTACTGGTCACCTGTGGGGGCAAAACTGGAGGCAGTGGTTCCCAAGCTTGAGTGGGCACAAAAAGCCACTGGGGTGCTTGGTAAAGGCCAGGATTCAGGTTCAGCCCTGAAATGATGATTCAGCAGAGGGCGAGTGTGTGCACCCGGCATCTGCATTTCACAAAGCACCCCAGACCCCGGGTGATTCTCATGCACGCGGTCCTAGAACAACCCTTTGAAAAACCTTGACCTAAAGATGGAAACACATTTGTAGCGGTGCCTGTGAGATTTAGAAAGGATTGACAGCAAACTCTTAAATCAGTAATCAGTGACTCTCACAGACAAAGAAAAAGAAAAAGGAAAAGACCAGAGAAAGAAAAATGATTTTGTGAAATACACAAATCTTGCCGCTGAGTCTGACTACTGAGGCGCGTCTCTCTTGCTCTCCTGCCCAGCCAGGTCTCAGGCCCGCAGAACCACCATCATGGAATTTTTGTGCCTTTTATTGCGAGGAGAGGAGCTCTGCAGAGGGGCCTTCCGCCGCTCCCACAGCCTGACTATTTGCCATTTGCTCAGATAAACAAGAGGGTTGTGTGTTCCCAAACCCGCAGTCGGCCATGCGCTCTCTGCTCTGGGAGGCAGGACAGTCCTGTCCTAGCAAGGTCTGGGGAGCTCCACCACGGGGGTAAACCCTGCTCTGCTTAGGACTCTGTCAGACTCTTCATCTCTTTGAGCCTCAGGTTCTCTGTTAAGGGATGATGGTGCCTACATTGCAGGATTACAGATTAAAACCTGAGGATGGAAACCAGTTCATTCATCCATGTAAAGCTCTTAGAACAGTGCCTAGCACGGGCCAAGCTCCGTTAATCTTGGAGGGGATGACTAAGTGCGCAAGTTTGAGGCACCCCTTCATGGCTGCCTGAGACCCAGCCATGACCTGGCCCTGACTTCCCACTAGGCGGCGCTCGAGTCCCACTTGTAAGTAGGGAGCAGGCACCCTGGACCCCACATGTATCTCTTCCTGCCCCTACTGCAAGTTGAGGCCCAAACCTTATGCGACCTCCAGCCTGGGGACCCCATGGAAGAGTGCGCTGCCACCCAGAAAAGCCAGGGGTGGAGGGATAGGGCACCTGTGCTTTAAGGGGAAAAGCCACACGTAGTAAGTAAGCCCTAGAGACCTAAGGCACAGTATAATGAGCACCAAACAATATTGTATTATAATGATCAAATGTGCACAGCATCCAGAACTTAAGTATTTCAATGACTAAAAGGAAAGGGAAATTATGTAACATAACAGAGGTGCTAATTATAACTACAGTGGCAATCGGGTTGAACATATAAATGCATCAAATTAACATGACCTACACCTTAAATATATACGATGTTATATGTCAGATATAGTTCAGTTAAAAAACAAAGAAAATAAAAAGCCTGGGAGACTGCTATCTTGAATGCCATGCTTCTTTGCGTCCCACTTGCGGCCTTTGCACTGTGTGGATGTGGCCTCTGCTCTGAGGAATCCTGGAGGGAGGCCAGGTGCAGCCTCCCCCAACCCCCATGATTTGGGCCTTACCTTGACCAGCTTCCCTGAGGAAGGTTAACCAGCTTTGGCTGCTGACGCCCAGGACCAGGGAGCCCAAGAGGATGCCCAGGAAAAGCTTCATCCTGCTGCAGAGTCAAAGAGACACACAAAGATGATAGGTGTTTAGTTTTGGTTTCGATTGGTTATTTCGTGGAGTAACGTTGACCCGTTCTTGTATTCCAAAACTAAGCCACACTCAGTGTATCTCTATCTGTAGATCTACACACACACACACATCTGTGTACATATACACCCCTGTATGTACATATATGTGTACGTGTGTGTATGTAGAAAGAAGTAGACAGTGCGTATACATATATTAGGCAGGTGATACGTAGATACATAGAGAGAATTCCAGAGGGTCCACGTCTCCATTTCCACCTGCCTCATTGGAATCCCAGTATGAGAGACTGCACTGCGCTTCTAATATAAACCACTTTCCCTTTCAGTCATCACCTGTGAGCCCTGACGCCCACTGTACAGAAAGCTTCCAAAGAGGCCTCTGGGCATTTTGTGACCATATACCAGTCTGTCGAATGAGATGAGTGAAACAATGCACAAACCTTGGCAGAAGGCCTGCTCTACCCATCCCTGAACTCTCCCCGAGGAAGTGCACGACTAAATCCCAGTCCCAGAAAGTATTCACATCTGCTGAATCCTAATTGTCAGGCTAGGAGATGCAGGAAGGAAGCAGAGAGCTGGGACACAGCACAGGAATGCCGTGGGGAACGGGAGTCTGCAAAGAGAAATAGTGTTGGAAAGTTCTAGTACCTCACCTTTGGCTGTTGCTTCCCAAGGAGGCTCCTGGTGAAGCTGAGCTGCCTGCCCTCCCGCCTGCGAGGGGTGCCCATGGTATATATACTGACGCTTTGCTAGGGGAATGACGGGGAAGCCAGGTTTGAAGCAAAACACTGAGATTGGGGAAATTGCCCCTTGGCCAGAACACAGCATCCAGAACATCAGGCTGTTTCTCCGCGCCCATCTAATTTCCCAGGTTGTGCAATCTGGCAGCTCCCGGGAATGTAGCAAACATGGGCTTTTCTGCCTGTTTTCAGTCTCGCTCTTGGTGAGGAAAGGTTTCCTTCCACACACAATAAGGTACTGACAATGGGTGTGAAGAGTAATCAATATTAGAAAAGAGATTTGAGGGCGCCTGGGTGGCTCAGTTGGTTGAGCGACAGCCTTCGGCT